GTTCTTCCCATCTTTGAACTTCAGTGTGAAAGACTATTGTTATTATTAAATGAGCTTTCTTTTTATTATTATTATTATTATTATTATTATTATTATTATTTGCATTACAATTCTTTTTTAAAAAACTTTTTAAAAATTTTTTTGAAAGTAGTTGGAAACAATACCTTTATTTTTTAAAATTTATTCTTATGTGGTGCTGAGGATCGAACCCAGGGCCTTGTATGTGCCAGACGAGCGCTCTACCGCTGAGCCACAATCCCAGCCCCAACATGACAATTCTTAATACACCTTTATACCATAATTTATCATATCTCTGATTGTATATAAGGTATACTGACACCAAATTCACATCTTCGTACGTGTATTTTGTATAATGATGAGGGTCTCCTTCCACCATCCATGCTATTCCCCTTCTCACTCCTTTTCCCTCCCACCCCTATTCCCTATCTAGAGGTTATCTTCCTCCCTTGCTCTCCTTCCTAACCCCATTAAATGAGCTTTCTTACATGAATTATTTAACCCAGCCCAGATCTTGGCAGAGTAAGTTCTCAGTCAATGTCAGGCAGTTTTTTAATAATTGCATTCTGACTTGTGTTAGTCATTATCTTTATATATGATTTATCACTTCAAGTAGAATTTAATCATTCCCCTCCTTTGTGTTTCTAGTAGGACTAGCATAATCATTTGTTGCTATCCAATATCTGATAAATGTTGAGTAATTAGTTAAATTAATAATGAATGGAAAGTATTTTTTATTGGTACGTAATAATCATATACAATAGTGGGATGTGTTGTGATATATTTGTATATGCAAATGAAAGAATTTGGTCAAGAAAATTGTACTTTAAACAAACATTTAATCTTTAGCTATTGAAGTTCTCTTGTATTTAGTATTTTAAACATACTGAAGTATAAAATTGTTTACCTTGATTTAACTACATTAAACACTATTTTTTCCCTTTCGTTTTTTGGAACTGCAGATTAAATCTAGGGATACTTCATCACTGAACTACATCCCCATCCTTTTTTTTTTTTTTTCTTTTGAGACACAGTCTTACTAAGTATTTGAGGTTCTCCTAAGCTGATGCTGGCCTCAAACTTGTGATCCTCCTGCTTCAGCTTCTCTAAGTTGTTGGAATTATAGGCATGTGCCACCACGCCCAGCTAAATGCTAGATTTTTTTTAATTTTAATGGCAAAATACAAAGAAAAATTTGAAATCTCCTTTGCAGTCCTGATCCTTAAATTACAAGTAAAACTTTGACTGTAAGAGGAGGTGTTTTCTTAGCTATTTTTTAGGCCAGGAATGAAGCTCTTCTTCTCTTCATATAGCACTATATTTACAAAGATGACACTTTGTTCAAATTATGGTCCTAATGTCAGAGTGAAATGGAACATTTGAACAATATTTGAATATATTTATTCATCATTCAAAATTTACTTTGAAATAACTTTTTCAAAAATAATTTGATCATGTTTGATTTTAGAGCCTATCAAGAAAGAAGATTTCTTTCACAACTCATCCAGAAGTTTATCTCTGTTCTGAAATCAGTCCCGCTGTCTGGTAACTGGCTTTTCTATTCAGCTCATTTGTAAATTTATTCTATAGACTTTCCTATGGATTTTACCTGTCTGTAGTCTAAAAATTGCTCTTAGAATGATTTCAAATTGTAACAATAAAGTATAGGTCCTTTCCTTTTCTAGTATATTGCAAATTGTAGCATTGACAGCCTTAAAGGTTATTTTAAAGGTACCAGCCTAGTTATTAAAATATCATTTAGTTAACAAACATTTTTATATTTGCTTACTAGGTTTATGTCCTGTCCTGTATACGATGCTGGAATACAATAGTGAACAAGAGAGAGACTTGTTCACTTGTTGTTCATAATGGGATATTGAATAGTGTTTTTCAAGAGATATTAAATATTATTTAAAGGGAAAGAGAAGAATTACTTTTTAGATATAATCTACAAATGAAATGGGTCAAGACCATTATGACCTATTTATTGATGAGAGTAATAAAATTACTCACTATTATAGATTATACTGTATTATCTATATGTATACTATGAGTATACTGTATATACATGAGTATACTATATACACGTGTGTGTGTATGTGTGTGCATGTGTTTTTTTTGGGGGGGGGCGGTGTACTGGAGATTGAACTCAGGGGCACTTGACCATTGAGCCCCATCCACAGCCCTAATTTGTATTTTGTTTAGAGACAGGGTCTCACAGAGTGGCTTAGTGCCTCACTGTTGCTGAGGCTGACTTTGAACTTATGATCCTCCTGCCTCAGCCTCCTGAGCTGCTGGGATTACAGGCATGCCCATACTGTACCCCACTTACATATGTGTTTATATACCTGTATGCCAAGGGGAGTCAATTCAATATATGAGGTTATTAAGATCTTGATAAGCATTTAATGAGTACAAATAGATTTTTACTTAATAAAGGTATATATGCTGTATAAGATGTCATCATTTAATATTTTATTTCTTAAGTGAATATAATCTCTAAGAACAGCTTTATAGTTGTATCATGTGTATATTTTCATATAGCTTTGTTTAAAATGCAATAGAATTACTTATTTAATGCTGATTTTCCAGGTAATATTTAACAACTGAATATTTTAACTAAAATTCAGTCAGGATTAGATATCAATACTATAAATCACTTGTACCCCATTTGGAGCATAATACTGCTAACAAACAATATAAATTATCATATGCTTATAATCTAAGGTGTTTAATATTAGTATATTTAAATCTTTTTGTTAAGTGCCTTAAACCTCAAATGAGGGTGAAGATTGGAGTTTCTTGGCACAAACAGTAACAATATATGCTTTGAACTATTAATGTTTCCAATAATCAGGGTCATAAAATTTATTTCTCTAATTGTGCAATTTTAATACAAGGTCATCTAGGTTTAAAAATCAATTAACAGAATTTCTTAGGTGATTATTCTGTTTTTCTTATTTTGGTACTGGGGTTTGAACCCAAAGTTGATTTACCACTGAGCTATAGCCTCAGCTCTTTTTATTTTTTAGTTTGAGATAGGGTCTTACTGAATTGCTAAGACTGGCCTCCAACTTGTGGTCCTCCCACCTCAGCTTCCCAAGTTGCTGGGATTATAGGCATGCACCACCACACCTAGCCTTCTTAGATTTATCTTAAAACTTTAATCAAAAATTGTTGCTGGGCGCAGTGGTGCATGCCTGTAATCCCAGTGATTTATCAGACTGAGGCAAGAGGATTGAGAGTTTGAACCCAGCTTCAGCAACTTAGTGTAGTTCTAAGTGACTCAGCAAGACCTTGTCTCTAATAAAATATAAAAAAGGGCTGGGGGTGTGGCTTGGTGGTTAAGCGTCCCTGGGCGCATGCAATATAATTATATATGTATATATAGAGAGATAGATAGTTAGATATAGATATAGATATAGATATTTATTTATTTATTTTTTGCTGGCAAAGGAATCAATAAGATGGTGAAAATAATGTGCCAGTTCAAAGAGGCATGTATGAAGATGAATGGAAGAGTTAGGAAACAGAAAGCTTATTTTTAAAAGAATGAGAAGGATTGTTGTTTCATTTTATAGGTTCATTAAAAAAAAACACTCATATTAGATGTAATAAGCAATCTGTGTAGGATTCTCTAACATGTCAAAACTGCTATCAGAGGAAGGAAAATAAAGATTGCAGTATACTTGACACAAATGATAAGAATGTGTTTGTCTCAAATTGGAACAACAAAGTTTTTACTCTGTGTTCCTCTGACCATCAGAGCATAGAACTTAATGACACCAAGCTTTGTTATCTAATATTAACCAGGCCATTGCCAGCCATTTTTCCAAAGGTTCAGAATGCAGAATTTGCTAACTTTTTAAATTTTAGAAGAAATATTTTTCCTTTGACAATTATAAGAATGAAAGCAATGGAGGCCTAGTTTGAATGAATTTAATTTAAAAATTGCTCCTTTTGGAGTGGTATTAGGGATTAAACCCAGGCACGCTTAACCTCTTGAGCCACATCCTCAGTCTTTTTAAATATTTTATTTAGAGACAGGGTCACGCTAAGTTGCTTAGGGTCTCACTAAATTGATGAGGCTGCCCTTGAACTCAAAATTCTCCTGCCTCAGCCTTCTGAGCCTCTGGAATTATAGGCCTCTGCCACTAAGCTTGGCTCCTTTTAATTCTTTAAACAGCTGTATGACTTGCACTAAGTTCTGAAAACCTGGCTTCCAGTTCTGCATCTTCATCAAGTCATTTCTTTTGGGGTCCTCAATTTAACAATTAGAAAATGAATATCTAGAATAGTTATTTTCTGCCCACCCCCCATTTTTAAAATTGGTACATTATGGTTGTACATAATTGAATAGATGTTTTTTAAGGTCTTTTCCAGCTATTGAATTTTATTTTTCTGTTACTGCAGGGTCTGGATTATGGGCATATTTTAACTGAAAATTTATAGGGGAAATTCCAGTTAACATTTCTGTGTATAAGTCACAAAAGTATTTACATTTCTTCACATAAAGCCTTCCATTTTCCATTCCACCAGAAGTAAATAAAATGAATGTATTTTTAAAAATGTTTATAGGATATCTTTTACAACTCTGCCACTTGAGTTGTCTCTGGACATCAGAGACCTGAAAGTTATCTGATTTCACAATGCAACCAACTTAACAGGATGGTTTTAGCTAATAAATGATAGATCATTTCCTAGAATTAATAAAAACCTTATGCTCTGAAAGTATTTTATATTTTGTGTCACAAAATATTTTAATTACTTTAAAACAGAAAAGAATGATTTTTAAAAGGTGCGTTATGTCATGAATAGCATAAAATAAAATTGTGATTTTAAAATATTTCATTGCTTTGTGTCATTGGTATTTTAATATCAAAGTAGTACGGTAGGAAAAGATAACATAAATTACTATATACTGCTCATTTTCTATGTATTTTAAAGATGTGTACATATATACATGTGTACATACATATTCTGTATATATCTACATAAACATGTATTTGTATATATGAAAAGGAAAGTAGAGCAAATTCTGATATAAAACTACTTTTTGGTGATTTTTCAAAATCTAGTCACTAAGTATGGGTTTTAAAAGTTAGCACTTTAAAAAATATCTTTTTGCACATGTGGCACAAGGTCATGTTCGTAGAGCAAAATAGCAGCTAAATATCAGCCTGCCTTTAAAAAAATATACAGGATATTCTTACTCAAAATCATAGTTATTGTGAATAAGAGGTAAATGATTTTGCTTATATTATTAAATTTTAAGAAGTAGCACACAGATAGTCTAGTAAAATTCTAACATGTTTCTCTTATGTCTAGAACCTGTCACTATGGACAAAGTTCATTATTGTGAAAGATTTATTGAACTTGTGATAGATCTAGAGGTAAGAAATATAGAATGACTTGTTAGGTATTTATTAAGAGTCTAAGCTTAAGCGTATTACTGCATGTGATATATTTCTTTATCACTTCTAACTGTCCTTATTTGAACCTTATGTCAAGGTGTCACATACTCATAAGTTGTTGTACTTTTAGGTTTTGAGATGACTGTCCCATTTGACATGGGCAACTATTTATTGTCAACTTTTTAAATAAAAAAATTTTTAAAAAATTTTGTAGACATTGATGGACTTTAATTTTATTCATATGTTTGCATGTGGTGCTGAGAATTGAACCCAGTGCCTCACACATGGTAGACAAGTGCTCTACCACTGAGCCACAACCCTAGCCCCTAAATTAAAATTTTTAAAGGATAAGATTTCATAATACTATGTGCAGAATGTTGGTAGGAATTTCAGATAAAGATAAAAAGTGATATATTTCAAATTAAATCCATTTTCTTTCCCTTATAAAGTGGGAAGTTGAAAAAAGATCTTTTTGTGCCTTATTTTGAATGATTGTTAGAATATTGGACTAGCAGTCATTCTATAAGTCTTCATTTATATTCTAGCTGTGTCAGTAACAAATTTATTTCCTTTTGGTATTTAGGAGCTCAACTTCATCTGTTAAATGTGTTATGATTAGATAATGGTTTTCAAACTGTCATGGTCCCATAGTTTCTCATCATCACCTTTCTGACTATCATGGGGGAATGTGGGGAGAGGAAAGGGAAACAGGGGTCTTCATTTAGGGAGACTTTTCCTTTTTCTTCAAAACAGCTCCATTTTTAAACATACACAGTTTATACTGGGTTTTAAACTTAATTGCAAATTCACACTGAAATTGCATGTAGGATTTTGTTGGAAAACTATTTGTTGAGATGACTTGTGAAAATTCTTCCTGTGTTAGATATTATTTTTAATTTTCTCTTTAAAGTTCTATTATCATCATTGTTATTAACTAAAAACACTGCCACTGAGTTTATTGACAGCATGATCCATGCCCCTTGCTATGTGCACAGTATGTCTTTGTGGAGGCTGGAGGGTACTTTGTGATGAGTACTTCTGAGTTAAATATAGTAGACTTTACCTTTATACTATCTGCAGAGAATACATGCAGAATTATTGCTGTGATGTTTATTTTTCCCAGGCCCTGCTCCCTACAAGGCGCTGGTTTAATACCATTTTAGATGACTCTCATCTTTTGGTTCACTGTTACCTTTCCAATCTTGTTCATAGGGAAGAGGATGGTCATCTTTTTTCTCAGGTGAGCACTGATATACCTAAACACACTTAACCATTTTAATTTCTAGGTTCATCTTTGCCAACTGGAAGTACGAGCATATGACAAAAAGTAAATTCTTTGAAGGATGATAAAATGAGATAGACATTATTGCTCTATATACATGTATGATTACACTACTGAAGGGACTGTACACCATGTACAGCCAGAGGAATGAGAATTTGTGTGCCATTTGTGTATAATATGATAAAATGCATTCTGCTATTATGTATAACTAATTAGAACAAATAAAAAAAGTAAATTCTTCTAAATATTGAATGATGTAAAATTCTAAATAATCATTTTAAAGTCAGGTCTTAATATGTAAAATTAATGCACTCTTGCATAGGTGGCCTTTAATAAATATATATTCTAACTATGTTATTTATGTATGACTTTATTATTGGACTAAATTGTGATTTTGATGATGTAGTTCCACATGTTCACATATTTTGATGTTATGTGAATAACCACTGTGGAATATAGTCAGTGATGAGCGTTAGTTTCAAGTAAACTGTGCCCAATACCATGGCTCTGTCTTTCCACATGATGGTGGTAACAGGCAATTGATAGCATGGAAATGTATGTACACTTATCCTGCTACCTTGGGTTGGAAGGTAAATGCACTTTAAGGAAGGCAAAAATATTAATATTTCCTGTTTTTTGTAGCATCATATAGAAGAAAACATAACAAACTTGTAATTCTTTCTTTTCTTTTTTTTTTAGTACTGGGAATTGATCTCAGAGGCACTTAACTGAGCCACATCCCCAGCCCTATTTTGTATTTTATTTAGAGACAGGGTCTCACTGAGTTGTTTAGTGCCTCACTGTTGCTGAGGCTGGCTTTGAACTTGTGATCCTCCTGCCTCAGCCTCCCAAGCTGCTACAATTACAGGCATGCACCACCATGCCTGGCAATTATTATCATTGAATGATATCATAATGGGAGATACAGTTTTTGTGTGCATTACATATTATTTTATCTCATGTCTATAAGCATTTCTTTTTCTCATTCTCTTTTATAAATTTTTGTCCAGTGAGTTGTGTGTGTCTTGAAATCTTAATATCTAATCTGCTATGGATTTGAAGTAAAATAATTCAGGTTTGAGGTGAATATAATTAGTAAACTCTTTTGTTGCTGCTGCTACATGGGGAAAGCAGACTCTTTTTTTAAACACTATTTTTTTCTTTCTATTAGCTCTTTTTAGTTAAACATAATATTAGGATTCATTTTGACAAAATTATTAAAATACAGAATATAATTTGTTCTAATTCAGTCCCTAGTGTATATTCCCTTTCTCTTCCCTCTCCTTCTTCCCTTCCCTCTACTGATCTTTCTGCTATCTATCTATCGATATATATTTTAAATTTGTGTCTTATAAATATACATGGTGGTGAGATTCACTGTGGTATATTCATATATACACATAGGAATATTAGGTCCGATTTATTCTACTGTTCTTTCCTTATCCCATTCCACTTCCCTTCCCTTCAATTCTCTTTGTCTACTCCACTGATATTTTTTTTGAACCCCTCCCCCACTTTATTTCGGATCAGCTTCTGCACATCAGGGAAACATTCAACCTTTGACATTTTGGGACTGGCTTATTTTACTTAGCATGATGGTCTGCAGATCCATCCATTTACCAAAAAATGCTATAATGTCATTTCTATTTATTGTTGAGTAATACTTCATTGTGAATATATACCACTTTTTCTTTATCCATTTATTTGTTGAAAGGCACTTGGGTTGGTTCCATAACTTAGCTATTGTTAATTGTGCTACTATAAACATTGTGGCTGCATCAATGTAGTATGCTGATTTTAGATCTTTTGGATATATAACAAGGAGTGGATTACATGGGTTATATGGTGGTTCTATTTCTAGTTTTTTTGCAGAATCTCCATACAAAAGCAGGGACTCTTTAGCAGCCGGCACCAAGCTAAAGGCTTAATGGCTGTGAAGACTGATAAGAGGAATGAACAACTTAACTTTTCCCACCTTACAGTTTTTCCCTTACAGAAGCAGCACAAAGAAGAATATCTCTACTTACAAATCCAAAACCCTCATTCACAAAAGTTTGGGGATTACAGTTTAAATTCTCTGTAGAAGTAGACCATGTATAAGTAATAGACTTAGCAATTTATTCATAAGACATATTTTGTTTTCATGTAAACTAAATGTGTTTGGGTACGTTCTGAAATATTTGTTATGATCTTTACATTCCAAAAATTTTCAGCAGCTCTGAGAACATGCATTATTGACTTGTTTATTTTATTAAATAGTGCTATATTTTTTTTGGTCTTATTTCCATAGTTAATTAATTTAAATCTATCCTTTTAGCTTTTGGACATGCTTAAGTTCTATACTGGTTTTGAAATTAATGACCAGACTGGAAATGCTCTGACAGAGAATGAGATGACCACAATTCATTATGATAGAATTACTTCTCTACAGGTAATTGAAATGGACTATAGCCTTTTCTTTAATCTAATTTTTGTATAGATGCAAATACAAAAAAAGTACTAATATAATAGTGTTTTATCGTCAACTTTTAAAGCTTTCTAATTCTGATGAATTTATGAAAAAAAAATGACTTTCATAGTGCATCTGAGTCCTATGAGTCAATATGATGTTATTCTACTCCGAAATATTAGTTACTAGGCCAGTTTGGTACAAATATTGGTCTTGCTGACACTTTTATTTCATGAACAAGTGCTGCATCATATGAAAGCATTCTACAGATTTTTAAGATCAACACATGTAATAGGACTGAAATTTACCAATGTAGTTCATATATGCCAAAAGAAGTACTATTGTTTTCTGTTACTGACCTCACTTTGCTATTGAGCTTCTTTTTTTTTTTTTTCTTTATGACAGAAGGATGCTTTTGTCAGTTTAAGTTTTTTGGAGGGCAAAGTCTTAAACAGAAGTTTAAACTCTTTTTGATAATCAATTCTACTCTCTGCTTGATTTTCTGATCTTCCTCCTCTTTCCACAAGTGACATCAGGGTGTACATGGAGGCTCTAAAGTTCATTGTTTTGGAAGAGGAATGAACTCAGATGTCTTTTCCTTCTTTTCTCAGAACATTAGTGTTTTTGTTCTTTTGCCCTTCAAGTAACCACAGTTGGTGTGGATATGGTTTTATCCTGTCGATACAGGCAAGGCGTGATGACTGGTCTCAAGGAACTCCATACTGCTTTTGGAGTCTCCTGTTTTGTTCTTTTGTTAGTTTTCTTCTGAGAACTGATTCTCACTCATTTCCTGGTTTAGGCCACCCATTCTCAACTTAGTTACAGTCATTTTGTAGTTGTCTTCAATAATCCCATGCAAACTCACTCATAACATTGGTGACCTGTGTGTGTCATCCACCATGGAGCACATAAAAACTTCTGAGTCTCTTCTGTAACACAGGGGCATCAAGGAAGACTAAGAATGTTGTCTTAGATACTTACTATCTTAGTGCTGTTATTTCTATTTTCTTATAGCTTATTCCGTATTGGTTGGGAATGTTAGCCTACAGGTCTTTTCTTCTTCGAGTTCCAAACAAAAACAGGGTGTAAGCATATTGTTTTTTGCTTCTCTCCTTAGGTTATTTTTTCAATGGGAACTTTCCCTTGGGATTTTATTTTAGTCTTGTAAGGTCAGTTCTTGATAATAAAAAATGTTTTTTTTTTAAATCCCCTTCTGTTAATAGCCCTCATGGCTATTTTTATATAGTCAAAATCAATTTTAGAAATAAAAATTTGAACACTGGCTCTTCATTTTTGCTTTCCTGCTTGAATAATTCTTGGTGGTTGTTTTGCTTTTATTTTTTTTCTGTTGCATTACATATTTCTGGATGAATAGGTGCAGGTCACATCCTAGATGCCTATGAGAAAGGGTAGTACATTATACTTTTAGAAAACATTTCTGCCATACAGTCTGTAAATTTTAGACGGAGATGTAGATATTAATTATTTATATTTTTTGTCATTCTGTTTCAGAGAGCTGCTTTTGCACATTTCCCTGAACTCTATGATTTTGCCCTCTCCAATGTGGCAGAAGTAGATACTCGAGAATCCTTGGTCAAGTTTTTTGGACCTCTTAGGTAAGGCAACACAAAAGAAAAACTGTTTATAAACTCTCTTAGTATCATGCTCCTTGAATTTTATTTTGTTGCTTTTATTAATTTTTTCATTATTTTAGATAATGCTGCTTATTCCTTCACTATTTATTGACATCTTAGCTTATGTTATTCTCTAACAGTTTGATATCTTTGAGTCACTTAAAAGCAGTTATCCATTCCCTCCTCTTCCTCCTCCTTCTCCTCCTTCTCCTCCTTCTCCTCCTCCTCCTCCTTCTTCTTCTTCTTCTTCCTCCCCCCCCCCCCCCCCCCCTCTCTCTCTCTCTCTCTCGCCTTTTTTGGGGTAAAAGATATTTTTCATAACTTGTGTCATTTTATAGATCTTAAATTTTTCCTATAGTAGGACATTAAATTGGTCAATCCCATTAGTCATGTAAGAGACATCCATGATGGTTCATCATTTGTGATATTAGTTCTATGACTTAGGAACATTTTTGCATGGTTAAAATTTATAAAATTAGTAATATTGTCTTGCATTTAGTTATCTGCTAATATAGGTTTTTGAAAATAGCGATAGTAATCACATGTTTATTTAGTATTAAGTGGTACTATGCTAAGTGTGTAAATAATCCTTAAAACTTCATATTAGTAATAAATACCATTTTTTTAAAAAAGTAACTAAGGCATAGAATAAGTAATTTGCTTGGTTACACAGCAAATAAGTGACAGATAAGATTTGAACCAGTTTAATTCCTGAACCCTAAGTTTTAACACTGTTCATTATTTCCCTTTTGTTCTTAACTCTTGGGAGAAATTATGTAGTTATTTTGTATTTGAAATGAAACAAACTAAGGTTGATTTGTTTATTCATTTTCAAGTGAGGATCTGATTATAATTCTTATAATAGGTCTATTTTATTCTTTGAAGTAATTGCATTGAGTTCCATTAAATGGTATTATCACACTGTTTTTTAATTACTCTCTTATTGATGGATCTTTAACTTTAAAATTTTGGGCTATTACCAACAATTCTGTATGAGCATCTGTGTTAGTCAGATTTCCATTGCTGTAATAAATATGTGAGTTAAATGAATTTTAAAAGAAGAAAGGTTTATTTTGATTTATAGTTTAGAGGTGCCAATCCATGGTCAATTGGTCCTAGAGTAGGAATGCATGGCAGAAGCAGACCACTCATAGCAGGTGAGCAGAGAAGGAGAGGGAGGAAGGACCAGGGTCCCAAAATCTTCTTCAAGAATATGCTCCCAATGACCTAAACTTCCTTCCAGTAGTCCTCCCATTGACGCCACAGGCTGGAGACTAATCCTTTAACACATGGGCTTGAGAGAGATTCAGTATTTAGACTAGCAGCATTCCTTGTTCCTTCTATGTAAAGAAAAAAATTTAGTGCTGATTCCTAGAAGCAAATGGCTGACTCAAAGGTTATATGTTTAAAATTTGCTCCTTCAGTAAAGACTAACAATTTACATTTACACCAACAGTGCATGAGGCTTTCTTTCCCTCCCTACCAACACTAAGTAAATGAGTCCTTACTTTTTCCCCATCCAAGAGCAGAAAAATCCTTATTGTTTTACTTTGCATTTTTTCATTATATTTGGAAAATTGAGTGTCTTTAATTTTGTTAGCTATTTGCATTTCTTCTATAACTTTCCTGTTATTCTTTATTATTTTTTATTTGATTGCTTATTTTCTTATTCATTTTATTTTTGAGAAACCTTTATATAGTCTAGATATGAATCCATTATCTAGTTTGTATTACATGATTATTTTTCTCAGTTTAACTTTGTAATTTCTTGTATTATTACAGGTATTTTAATTTTTTTTTTTTTAGTTTCTGAACTTTATTAGTTCTACCTCATGCTAAAATTCCTGCAGAGTTGTGATTTAATACAGTGATCTCAAATGAAAGTGGCATTTTAAAATAAATTAAAATGCAAGCATATCTGTATCAATCTATTTTTAAATGTGTCATTAAATTGGTTTAAAAGTCCAGTGTCAATTATATATCTGTGTTTAAATAATTTCATAATTTTTAAAATTTTTGCACCCACTCTATGTTTTTTTTGTTTGTTTTGCAGATGTTTTAATTTTTTAGTTAATCACATCTGTCAATCTTCTTTTTAGTGATTATACTTTATGTAGAAGACCTTCTGGGCCCTAAAGTTACAAAAGATTGTCTTATGTTTTTAGACCATTTTTACATATTACATTTATTTTATCTGCATAATACATTTGAGGAAAAATTTTTTCCAATAACTCATTAAAAATATGAAGTATAATCCATTATATGTTAACATGTTTATTATTAATGAAAAATGTATATTCTAAATGAAAAAAACACAATGGGAAGAGTCCCATTGATTTACATGTTTGTGAATCTTTTTAATGTGTGGTTTATTGAATCTAATTGGGTTTGTACATGAGCTTTAATGTCTTACTCATAAAGACTCAGATTAGGTGTAAGTCCTTCCCAAATTTATCTATAGATATAATTTAATTTCAGACAAAATTCTAGCATAATATTTTGAAAAAACTGACAAAACTTATACTAAAAGTAATATGGAAAGGCAAGGGAACTAGAAGAGACACAATCATTTTGAAAATGAACAGTGTGGATGAATTCTACTAGCTATTACTATTTAGTATAAAGCTACAGTAAAGAAGATATTATAGTATCAAAAAGGGTTGATTTATGGATCAGTAGAGTAGAATAGAAAGAGAATTCAGAAATAAGACTCTCTCTCTCTCTCTCTCTCTCTCTATATATATATATATATATATATATAGTTGATTTTTATAATGTACTTAATTAGAATTAAATTAATTTACTAATATGAAGAAAGGATAATTTTTCAACAGTGATGCTAGAACAGTTAGACATCTTTATGCAAACTATGAATGAACCTTGAACCATAACTTTGCATCATATACACAAAAAACTCAAATTGAATTACAGACTTAGATATCAAAAATAAAACAGAAAAAAAAAAACTTTGTCATTATGGTTTGTGCCAAGATTTCTACAGACACCAAAACACAATGGAAAAATTAAGAATTGGCCTTTATTGATATTTAGAAAAAGTCAGCTCTTTGAAAGACATTGTTTTCAAAGAGAATCAAAAGGCAAGCCACATACTAGCAGAAAATATTGACTAAAAAACACATACATGATGAAAGATTGGTATTCAAAAGTCTTAGAATTCCATAAGAAGAAAATAACTAATTAAATGGTAAGAGATTTAAATACATAAAGCATCAAAGCAGATAGATGTTAGTGCATGAAAAGATGCTAGGGAAATGTAAATTTGAATCATAATATACTTACTACATATGTATTAGAATTATTTAAAAGAAAAAAAAACAATGGACAATTTGCCAATGATGTGGAGCAACTGGACTTTTCAGACATTGCTGGTGGGAACTAAAAATGAGAGCCACTTTGGAAAAAGTCAACACTTTCTTTTAGAGTTAAACATGTGTTTACTATATGATCCAGCAATCCTTGCTTAAAGATATACCCAGGAAAAGTTAAAATTTTATCTTTATGCAAAAATGTATATAGTAGCTTTATTTGTAATTGTCAAAAACTAGAATACATATATATCCTTCAAGTGGTAAATGAATAAACACACCGTGATATATCATGTAATATAGAACAGTACTGAGCAATATGAAGCAATGGACTACAAATACACACCACATTGTAGGTGAATTTCATCCACCAGTATCAGAAGACATCCAATGTCCAAGGCTACCAAATGTGTGGTTTGACCTTCTGGGAAAGGCAAAAATCATAGAGATTGAAAATACATTAGAAATTTCTAGAGAGTGTAATGAAGGTTTGATACAAAGTAGCATGAGAGAAATTTGGGGGTTGATGAAACTATTTAAGTAGTGGAAAGCTGTCAAGTTCACAGAAAAATTTGGAATGGGTATTCAAGAATCCAAATTTAATAACAGTTTTAATTTTTCACTGTTGCATCAGGGACATTCTTCAATAAAACTGACTTTGTAAAGAAATACTTTGTGCAATTGAGGAATTCTGTGAATACTTTTAGCACAGGTTGGTGCCACTGACTGAATCTTTGCCAGCAATTTTACCCGTCAATGCCTTTTGGGGGGGGGGGAGTGCCAGGGATTGAACCCAGGGCAAACACTCTATTAACTATATACTATATCCCCAGCTAATCTGTATCTATCTACTCTATATCCCCAGCTACCCACTAATGCCTTTGTACTGTTGGTGTATATATAAATATAGTGGTGGTGGGGGGAGATGTCTTGGTATTAAAAACATGCTGTCCTTGCAGTTCCCTTGAAAGGATTTTAGGTACCATGAGGTTTGTAGAAAATACTTTAAAAAACACTGAATTATAAGTTTAATTTTCATTACTGTCTTTTGATATTGGCTGCCCATATCATAGGACTATATTTATTTTTTCAACTGTCTGTGAAAATGCATGTTTCAAAAGCAAATTGAATTGTTATGAATAAAATGTTCTTCATTCTGCAGTTCAAACACACTCCACCAGGTGGCATCATACCTCTGCCTGTTGCCAACCCTTCCTAAAAATGAAGACACAACTTTTGATAAAGAATTTCTTCTAGAATTGCTGGTAAATATTAATATTCTCTGAATTTTTCATGTAGTTTTCTCTGCCTTTTTGAATTATTCAAAAAGATGTTGGTATACATTTCTACTGTACTAAAAGATTGTACTAAAAGATTATACATAAATCATACATACAAATGAACTCAAAATGAATCACAGATTTAAATTTCAAAACTAAAACAGAAAAAAAAGTCTTTTTTTCTTGTGGTTCAGGCCAATATTTCTACAGACACCAAAGCATAGTGAAAAAATTTATGAATTGGCCTTTATCAAAATTTGAAAAAAAGTCTGCTCTTTGAAAGACATTGTTAAGAGAATGAAAAGGCAGGCCACATACTGGGGAAAATATTGGAATACGGACTGGTATCCAGAAGTCTCAGAATTGTATAATAAGAAAATAACTAAATAAATGACAAGAGATTTAAATAGACACAGTATCAAAGCAGATAGTATCAGTAAGTCCATGGACATATGCTTAGTATGTTGTCATTAAGGAAATGCAAATTTGAATCATAACACACAGCATAACGACTGTTTTGGAATTATCACTTGCTTTTTGTCAGATTTGATTTTTCATTTCTTGGATTTCTTCTCTCAGGTCTTTCATCTCTTGAAGCTGCTTTTTGACAAGAACTCATTACATCAGCAAGCATTTATGAGCAGCTTCTTTGTCAGGCACTGAATTCACACATTGGAGATACATAATTGAAACCATTCCTTTCTTTAAGGAGGTCACAATTAAACATACGCAATACATGTATATGAATAAGCATTCATATGTTTATTTTAAGTGATCATTTAAATAGTTACTTGAATATTTGGTTTTACCATTATCTCTAGGAAATCTTAGGAATGTTAGAAATATAAGAACTTATCACTAAGTAATTGAAGAATTCTTAGGGATTTCTCATTCATTTTTGGAAATGAGAAGCTTTAACTTTCAAACTATTTTTGTGTGTGTTTGTGTCTGTGAAGATTTTTGTTTTGTAGAAATCATAGTTTTCTGTTATATAATTCATCTAGTACATTCTCTAATAAGATAGAATTATTATAATTGAATAGCTTTTCGTGTATTTTAGACATTTTTGTGCTGAAGCTAACATACTGTGTTGATGTGCATATACTTTTCTTACACATATGGAACCATATTAAGCATACTGTTTTATGATTTATTTTCTCAGCTAATATTTTTACTAGAAAATGTAAAACGCAATCCCTCACTGTAGGAAACAAGATGATGTACTAGTTTCACAGCGACCACAAACTCTTTGTAGCAGGTGTTTAAAGCCCTAGTGACAGGTGTTTTAAGTGCTGACTGGGGAGAAGTCTTTGGGAAGTATTTTAAATTAATTTAAGTATAGAAAAACACTTTCTTACTGATAGGTTTACTTGCATGAAGAATATGACTTAGGCCACTATCTTTGTCTTTCTTCCTTCAAGATCACTTTTCATTGTCTTTGACCACATATGTGCTTTCTGAAAATTCTTCATGCTATTTTCTGACAATATAAAATCTCTCATGAGTCAGGTTTTGGTATTAATAATAATAATAAAAATGTGGATTTTCTACTAGAAATCTTTCTAATAGTATGTTTGAGTATAAAGTTGACTCTATGCTTTTTTGGGTCTTGTAACTAAAATCTTACCCTTAACATTTAAATAGGTATTCCAAAAGAAAATAATTTTTAAATTTATAGTGATACAGCATAGCTTTTGTTTCCTCCCTTTCCTAAAGGAGGTCTTCAAGCTTTGGTTTCTTCTAATATCCAAATAACCATTGAAAATTTAAAATATACATATTGCTTAGCTATCACAATACCTTTTTTCCTAAAATAATTTTACCTTGTACTAAAGAGAATATGACATTTTCAGATGTTATTATTTTAGCAGTGTTGATTGGATAACAAATTTATGTTTGTATGTGAGATGGATTGTTTTAATATTGCTCTAATAATAAGGATACCTCATGGTCATCATTGAAGGGAAAATAGAGATAGTCCATTTCTCTTTTTACAAGGGAGAAGACAAAACAGATTGTATTGTTAATATAAGAATGACAAATAGAACTTAGGGCTTCTATTTTTCTCTTAATGATAAATATTCAAGTGTTTAAACTCTGGGTGTGTGCCAAGGACTTCCACTATTTTACAATATTCTATCTGTACATGAGAAATCAGAGAGATAAGTAGCACTTTTTCTGTTTTACTAAAAAGTAAATTAAGTTCAGGAAGGTAACTTGCCCAGTTTTTCCTTGTTCATACATAGAGATGCTGGGACTTGAACTCCAGTCCATCTGATTCCAAAGCCCATTACTATTGTTCTTCTTTCATCTTTGTTTTAATGGAGAAAATGGAGGAAAGAAAAAGCATCTTGTTAAAGTGCTTCAGTAACCTAAAAGGCATAAAATTTCTCATTTCATACTTTATAGTGAATTTGGTCATAAATTATTTTGAGTGAACAAAGATGATTCTCACTTTCTGCATGAACTGTTTCCTTTCTCTTAGGTATCTCGACATGAACGTCGGATTTCTCAGATTCAGCAGTTGAATCAGATGCCTTTGTATCCAACTGAAAAAATTATATGGGATGAAAATATTGTCCCAACTGAGTACTATTCTGGGGAAGGTATGGTAAAGAGATATAGGATTCAGGTGTAACCTGAAACTTAATTCAGAATTCTTTGTATATAATTAAAAATGTATTCCAGTTTATCTCATAAATTAGGATAATTTTCTGGTACCTGAAGCTCAACTTAAAAAAATATTTAATATTTCGAATACTTAGTACTAGTATTTTTATTAAATTTAACCATACATTATTGTATATATAACACTATATATAAAGTATGACCATAAAACTATAAGACATAATGCTGAAAATATGACTTTCTATCAGTAGTTGATAATAAACCTGAATTTTGATCCAAAGTGATATTACCTAGTTTATTCACCTACCTTTCACTACATTTGGTTCTGTGGGCCTTTTGCTCTTCCCCTAAGAATGAGACTTTGCCACAACTGAGAATATACAGAAGTATCTTCTGTCATATTTTGAAGACATATTTCAAAGGAAATTTCAGGAAGTCTTGAACAATGGCATTGTTATTAGAAAAATTGTGACTTTTAGAAAATCACAGATGTTTTCTTTTTTTTTTTTTTAATACTTTTTAGTTGTAGATGGCACAATACCTTTGTTTTATTTATTATATTTATGTGGTGCTTAGAATTGAACCCAGTGCTTCACACATGCTAGGCAAGTACTCTACCACTGCTCTACAACCCGAGCCCCTCACAGATATTTTCTTTTGGTATATTTATTTAAAAGACAAATTACTTCCGAGTTGTATTCTAAATGCATAATTGCAGCAAAACCAGTGTACTAAAATTGTGCTAGAGTTCAGAATAGTCAGTCTTCCTATCTTTTTATAGCTAGGAAGGTTGATATGTTGTTTTCTTATGTCTAAGGATGCATTCTTGGGTGATAAAACTACAGAAATTCAAGCAAGTGATGGTTATAGAAGTTGGGAAATGGTTCCTTTCAGGTGAAAGGAAGAAAATGTAAGGTGTATGAGAGAGTCCTGGATAGCTAACAAGGTGATTCCAAAGCTTCGTTTTTTTAAATGTCCTTTACTTTTTGGCATATCTCCCTATATCTTTTTTTTCCCCCTTTCTGTTGAAGAATCTGGGTTGTTTGATCTGAAGTTCCCCATAGCCCAGACTTTTCAAAAGAATACCAATTTTTGTTTTTTGTTTTTAAATAAAATATGCTATGAAAAGAGATGGTTTCCCTTATCTTTGGCCTGAAATAAAAATAAATTGAATTCAATTGCTAGTCAAAGTTAACTAATATAAATGACATGAAAATTTTTATGTAGCATTGTGTCTTGTCTTTAAGTTCTTTTGTTATATCTTTGATATTCTGCATGACAATCATAAAACTGATTTGCTAATAAAATGTGCTTTGGATTCTTTTTTTTTTAAACCTTTTTGATAATGTCTGAAGTGCTTGGTTACTTATTATCCAAAAGAAATAGTGTTAAGTGAGAATAATGGAAAGAATATTTATCATTAACATAGAGAAGAGCAAGTCTGGAATAACAAGGCAAATTTAGAGCATAATAGTGATCTTTAGAGACCTATTTATGCAATGAAATGTATTAATCCAGTTTTCATGGTAAATTTTGTCATGTGCTAAGGTCATACTTCAAGATTTGGCAAATGTGAATTAGATGATAAAATAAGGGTTTAATAAAGTATTTGAGACTACTAGTGTTAAGTATCTTTAAATATTTTTTAAGCATTGTCTGATATTTAGATTAATATATGTACTAACAAAATTCATCCTTCATTCCTAGGTTGGTTTGTTGGTTGGTTGGTTTTTGTTGTTGTTGTTGTTTTGGTACCAGGGATTGAACCTGGGGGCACTTAATCACTGGGCCACATCCCCAGCACTCACCCCCAGTTCCTAATTGTCAGCTTTTATTAACCTGGTTTCAATTTCTTTCTTTTTTTTAATATTTATTTTTTAGTTTATTTTACATTTATGTGATGCTGAGGATCGAACCCAGTGCCTCTAGTATGCTAGGCAAGCACCCTACCACTGAGCCACAACCCCAGGCCCCTGGTTTTAATTTCTATGTGAAAATAAAGATAAGATGTTATCAATTAAACAGCATTTCAGTTATCATTAGATTCTTATCAAATTTATGGTATTTTTTTTAATACATAGAGTAGATGACTGATTAAAAGAATTATTCACATATGGATATTCCTTTTCAGGTTGTCTTGCTCTTCCCAAGTTGAATTTACAGTTTTTGACTCTTCATGACTATCTCCTAAGGAATTTTAATCTGTTCCGCTTAGAATCAACGTATGAAATTAGACAGGACATTGAGGACAGTGTCAGCAGAATGAAGCCATGGTGAGTAAATTGGTTCTACATAATAATAACAAGATGCATACAGTGACTGATACTTCTGTCAGAAACTTCATAAATGTGTTTAAAAAATAGTTATATGACATGAAGCCTTCCAAAATATAAGATGTTTACTCTTTAGGAAATTCTTTGCGAGTTAAAATCTATCAGAAGTGCTAATATATGAAATAGGTATTTAAGTACTTGGAGGCAGAACTGGGAGACTGGAGATAAAGTAGGAGAAATTGTCTTATTTTGAGAAAAAAGGGAAAGATGTAGTGGAGAGTAGGTTAGATCTTGGTAAAGGGGTAAAGAGATGGGTATGAATTGTCTGGCAGTCCTATACCAGGGAAGTTTCACTTAAACTGATGGTTTAAGTCCTGGATGAAACTTATGATAAAGGGTTACTCCTCTACCTCAGTTGCTCCTATGACTGTTGTTAGTGCCATCATCTCTATGGGAACTGGCCAGGAACAGGGGATGTTGCTGAATGTTACACGGAGTGGTACACTGGTAAGTCTTCTCTGGCTCTTTATCCGTAGATGGACTTGAAGGGGCTAAATCATCAGGATTTACTTCTAGAACAAGTTGAGTAGGTCTAGTTATTTGAGGAACTCTTCTGTTTAAACTTGGCTCTCCACCTGCTGGCTTATGTCTGGAATTCTTTTACTAAAGTCCTTCACTGTAGTTATGCAGAAAGCTTTGCATTATGAGATTTGTGAAGGTTCATTTTGGTTTCTTAGACGTTGATTGACTTGGTATAAAAGCTCTCCATTGACTATGGCATTCTAAGTATGGAATAGATGTGACATAAGCTATGTGACAAAAGCATTTGCAAATTAGTAAATTTCTATGAAATGAATTTTCATTACCTTATGGTCATACTCCATACATACACACAATCGTTCTGCATTTTATATAAAAAGCTTAACATTTCTTGAAAGTGAACTAATTCAGGTATCTTCCAAGCTTCTCTCTTTACTAATTGCAGAGAACTACCATGAGCACTGTGATTATGATCTATTTTTTTCACTTCCATATTTTATTTTATACACAGTTCTATTTTTTAATTAATTATTATGTGAAAAGTTATTCTGGGTGAGACTGTAAAACACAAGACAGAGTATTTTTGACTTAATAATTAGTTGAGTCAGTAAGCAGGCTAGCACTGTGAAATTTGTATACCCACTGGCTGATCATCCCTGCCCACAGCTTAGCTGAAATTTTTGCCCTTTGTTCGGACCCTGCGGGAGTGCTTGATCAGAAAACTTACTTATAATTTATCATTACCTTGAGTTTATATGTTTAGATTCAGGCCCTAGTTTTGGCCAAATAGGGACTTATTAACTAGCAGTTCAATAAATAGAATTCACTTATATTTTATTTAAATGCCAAATACAATAAAAATAATACTTATGGCCTATTAATAGAGGAAATTTTTTAAAGTTATATCATTTTAAGATTTGAGGGGGGGTCACTTCTGGAGTTAATTCATTCATACTTATACTATTAAATTTTTTAAAATTTACAATCTTAATTCCAATCTCTGAAAATAGTTGTTTCTATATAGCATGTATCTTGAAGATGAAAAAGTAGCACAGGCATTTTCACTTATTACATGATGATCATATTTTCAGGCTGCTAAAATCACTGGGCAGTGATAAGAGGAGGGAGCAGAAATTTGTACTTTTTAATGCTTTGTGTTTCAAATCTTTTGTAAGAAAAAGGAATAAAGGGAGCAGATTAGTGGTTCCCTGGGGTGGGAACGGGATTGATTGCAGTTGGGCAAGAGGGACCTTTTTTAAGGATGATAGAAATGTTCTAAGATTGTGTTGATAGATATACATCTCTATTAATTTACTAAAAATCCTTGAATTGTACATTTACAGTGAATGAATTCTATAATATGTAAACTATACTGAAATAAAACTAGGAGGAAGTGATAGATAGAACACTGCTTTACAAGGGATTGTTCTATTGCTAACCAAGTCATTGGATTGCAGATCCTTTGTTATTAGTTTCTCTTTTTGATGTTATGAAGTTCTGTAACTTGTTGCTATGACACAAAGCCTTTACATTATATATATTTTATTTTCATTAGCTTTTAATGTTTGGCAATACTTTCTAGTTTGGGAGTGCTAGAGTTCTTGTGTCACAGATTTCCCCAATACACTATTCAATGTAAAAACAAAACTGCAGATTAGACTAACTAACATAAGAAAGAATGGGTATTTGGATGTTAATGGTTCTAATTATTGTAGTTAGCTTATTTTTTCCTCCAATCCATGACATCATCTTTTATTTAAATGTTATTCCCAGAGAAGATGTTTGCCTATATATATTTGTGTGTGTGTATAACCATTTGTTTGCGTGTTTAAAATTATGACTGTGTATTTGAAGTAGCATATAGAAATGTTTGAAGTATAGAAAATAGAAATATTAGCAATTGAGGCTATTTGATGAAGAAGGCAAAAGAATAAGAGTATAAAGTCAAACTAAGTAAAGCTGTCCTTCAGAAATGAAAGAGAGATACTGAGGGTGTGCATCACCTGCCTTATGAGAAATGTTAAGGGAAATTCTTCAAGCTAAAACAAAAGGATGCAAATTAGTAACATGAAAAGACCCTTATAACTAAAGTGATTTTAATCAAGGAAAATACTTCTTAATTTCAAATTATATTACAGAACTGCTGTAATCAGAACAGTATGGTACATGCATAAAGACAAAGACCAATAGACAATTAGAAAGCCCAGGAATAAATCCATACATATACAATTAATCTTTCACACATATGTCAAAATATACAACAACTTGGAAAGTCTTTTCATAAATGGTATTCGAAAAACTAGATATTCATGTGCCAAAAACAAAACAAAAAGGAAATTGAATCCCTGTCTTCCCTGTGAACTCAAAGTAGATTAAAGGTTTAAACATGGGGCTGGAGATGTGGCTCAAGTGGTAACGCGCTCGCCTGGCATGCGCAGGGCGCTGGGTTCGATTCTCAGCACCACATAAAAAAATAAAATAAAGATGTTGTGTCCACTGGAAAACTAAAAAAATAAATAAATATTAAAAAAATTCTCTCTCTGTCTCTCTCTCTCTCTCTTTAAAAAAAAAAAAAAAAAGATTTAAACATAAAACCTGAATTTATAGAACTCCTAGAAGAAAACAGAGGAAAAGTTCCAGGACATTGGTCTTAGCAGTGATTTTGTTTTTTTTGTTTTGTTTTGTTTTGTTTGGTTTTTTTTTTTTTTTTTTTGGAACAGGGAGAGAGATACAGCAGCAAAAGTGCAGGCAACAAAAGCAAAAATAAAAATAGATTACACTAAGCTAACAAGTTTCTGTCCAAAAAAGGAAACAAGAATATAAAAAGATAGCACCTCTAGAATGGGAGAAAATATTTGTAAACCATAAATTAAAATAATGGGTTAATATTCATAATATATAAGTGACTCCCATATAGCTCAATACAAAACAAAATAAAACAATAATACCCAAACAATTGAAAAAAAGTCAAAACATCTGAATAGACATTTTTTCCAAAAAAGGTATGCAGATGACAGATGACCAAAAGGTATACAAAAATGTATTCAGCATTACTAATTGCTAGGGGAATGCAAATCAAAACCACAATGAGATTTTCACCTCGTAGCTGTTATGATGACTGTTATCAAAAAGTGAAAACATAGAGTTGGTGAAGATGTGGAAAAAAGGGAAACCCTGTATACTATTGGTGGCAATGTCAATTAGTGTAGCCATTATGGGAAGCAGTATGCAAATTCCTCAAAAATTAAAAGTAGAACTATTGGTCCAGCAATCCCACTCTGTTTATATAGTCAAGGAAGTATAATCACTGTACAAAGAAATACACGCACTTCCATGTTTATTGCCGAATTGTACACAATAGCCAAGATATGGAAACAAACCGTGTGCATCAATGGATGAATAAAAAAAAGTGAATATATGGCATATATGCATGTATACATGGTAGAATATTACTCAGCTTTAAAAAGGAAGAAAATCCTACCATTTTTTATAATATGGATGAACTTGAATACATTATACTAAATGAAATAAGCCCTATTCAGAAAGGCAAATACGGATGATTTTACTTACATGTGAAATCTGAAAAAGTAGAACTCAGAAATGGAGTAAAAGTTGACTGTTGGGAATTGAGGTGAGTGAAATTTGAAAATGATAGTCAAGGGGTACAAACTTTTAGTTATAAGATCTGGAAATTCTAGCCAGACATGGTAGCACATGCCTATAAATCCCAGTGGCTCAGGAGGCTGAGGCAGGAGGATCATAGGTTCAAAGCCAGCCACAGCATCTTAGTGAGGCCCTAAACAACTCAGCAAGATCCTGTCTCAAAATAAAAAATAAAAATGGTTTGGAATGAGGTTCAGTGGTTAAGTACCCTGGGTTCAGTCCCCAGAGTAAAAAAAAAAAAAAAAAACAGATTTATAAGTTCTAGAGATTCAATATACAGCATAGCAACTATAGTTAATAATAATGTATTATATATTTGATTTGCTAGACAAATAGAGTGTAAGATTCTCATAATACAAAAAAAAGGTAACTGTGGTGATAGATATGTTAATTTAGCTTGACTTCAGTTGAGATTTTACGTGTGTATACAAACATTCCTTAATATACATTTTACTATCAATTACACCTTAACAAAGTAGAGATTAAATTGTGTTGAAGTATTTTATTTTTCTTTTTAATAAAATGACTACACTCCAGAATGCTTTAATATGTATAATGTTATTATTTTTTTCAGAGGCGAGGGAATATTCCTCTACTTTCCTTTCATTCCTAGGCCATATTTGCCTGTTTTATACTATCATATATACTTTCTGTATATTGGGACTTTTTTGCATAAGTTTAAAAATAAGGATTGCTAATGTTAATACCTAAATACTAGTAAAACATGTATTCTTAATAGTTTTACTTGTCTGAAAGTTTGGGAGAATTTATTTTTGTTTGATTAATCATCTATTTCTTTGATTTTCAGGCAATCTGAGTACGGTGGTGTAGTGTTTGGTGGTTGGGCACGAATGGCCCAGCCCATTGTGGCTTTCACTGTAGTTGAGGTTGCCAAACCCAACATAGGTGAAAACTGGCCAACCCGAGTTCGTGCAGATGTCACCATCAATTTGAATGTCAGAGATCACATCAAAGACGAATGGGAAGGTAATTTTATATTTGAAATGCTGAAGTTGCCTTTGGCTTTTTTAGTTTGTAGATTTTTCACTTAGAGTATTAGCAAAGTACTTTACTAAATGTTACCCTTTTTTCTTTTTTTGAATATCTTTTAGTTGTAGTTGAACACAATACCTTTATTTTATTTATTTATTTTTATGTGATGCTGAGGATCGAACCCAATGCCTCACACATGCTAGGCAAGCACTCTACCACTGAGCCACAATCTCAGCCACTGTATTCTTTTTTAAATAAAGATTTTTCTGGGCTGGAGCTATAGCTCAGTGGTAGAGCATCCACCTCGCACGTGTGAGGTACTGGATTCCATCCTCAGAACCACATAAAAATAAACAAAGATATTGTGTTCAGCCACAACTTAAAAAAAAAAAATCCATGATTTAAAAAAATAATAATAAAGATTTTTCTTAAACTTTTATTAAATCTTATCCTTGAAATTTGATTTAAAGGAAGGCAGTTGTTCTTCTAATTATTAGTAGTAAAAATACCAAGGATCATTCAAGAATATTGAAGTATCCCAAATATTTTAATAAAAAGAATAAGATCATATATGTATCCCAATGTTTTGGAAATTGCAGTTTGCAGAGCTGAGAGGAGAACATTTTAAGTCATAAGTTACGATAATATGAATTGATAGGGACAATTCAAAAAGAATAAATACAATAGTGTTCATTTTAGAAATGAAGAATACCCACATATTATTAGCACACATGTTCAGTATAAGAAAGGAAAATTGGTATTTTTCAGGAGATAAAAGCAGCCAAAGTGAAAAGTATAGGGATGTGTATACTTTGTGAAGAATAAAGATTAAGAAAGGAGTTTCGGGAAAGGAAATACAGTGAAATAACTCAAAAAGAAATTATAGTTTATTTTCACCAAAGTGAGGAAGGCAGATTTTCAAAAAAATCAGTGAAATCAAATTTATTCAAAGGTACATACATAACAGTTATAGAGAAATGAAACCAGTGATTTTTCCCTGTTTTTTAATAGGCAAGATTTTAGGGATCAGAGTTCTCTGTCACAATTCTTTCCAGAGGCAGACATGTTCAAAGTTAGCAAGTCAGAATTAAAACATCACTAACACCTGTGCCAGAAGTGGCTCATGAGCTGATTTTTAATTGGCACTTTTATATTTTCCCCCCAGCTGTCTGTGAGACTCTTACTTGCTGCCCTGTTGTGAGAAATAGTAGCCAGTAGGTTTAATCTCCTGCTACCTTCTTTGCATGCCAGAAAGAAAAGGATACTCCCTTAATGGATCAGTTTTCAGAAATTATTGCTCCCTACATAGCTGTCAACATATGGAACATATGATATATTTATCAAGGAATTCAGCAATGAAGCTGGCCAAATGTTTAACAAATGGCTAATCTAGTGAGTATAGTTTGTGACAGATTGTTTTTTTGACTCCTATATCCTTTGACTCCTATATCCTTTAAAAGAGTTCCAGTCTGTTGTAATACACATCTAGAATGACTTGTGCCTTAATTATTGCTGAACCTTGAAAAAGACATTAAGTTGGTGGAGAAACTTAAGGAGATATTAAACATTTCTTCTACACAGAGTGTATCCCTGTGAATAGTAATGTTTGGGATTCCCCCACCCTCCACCACCAGGAATTGAATTCAGGGACACTGGACTGCTGAGCCACATCCCTGCTTTATTTTGTATTTTATTTAGAAACATGGTCTCACTGAGTTGCTTAGCCCCTCACTATTGCTGAGGCTGGCTTTGAACTCGTGATCTTCCTGCCTCAGCCTCCTGAGCTGCTGGAATTACAGATGTGCACCACCATACCTGGCCAATGGTTGAGAATTTTAAGTTTTTTCATAGGCATTTATAAATGACAAGTGACCCATATGCATTACAATGTTAAGGGGGAGGAAAGGGTGTTTTACTCAGAAACTCCTATTTCCCCCGTGGCAGTTGCTATCAGAAACCTGAAATAGATTTTTCTTTTTTATTTCCTCCTTCCCTCCTTCCCTTCTTTCCATCCTTGCTGTCTTTGTATTTCAATCAGTCTTTCTGTTTTTCTTTTTAAAATAGGCCTTTGGTAGAATGATAAATAGTGGGTATATGTTGATGAGTAAGCAATAGAGTATTTAGGGATTAGTGATTCATATTATGGAATATTGTGGTAAGAAAATGCATTTTTTTTATAGACCAGGGTTCAGACTTAGCTCCTATATTGATCACATAAGGGATAACCAGGTAGGAAATTGTAGCAAAAAATGAGAGAGAGGCCCTGCAAATATTAATGAATGTTGTCTTATAAAAATAGAGAATAGTTTGAAGTTTTCAAAATAGAAATCATGAAACATTCATCTTGTCCCTTCAAGAAAATTTGAAACTCAGGTCCTTATCATTTTTATTACCTACATTTAAAATTAAGAAGGCAGAATTAATGAAACTGAAGGCTGGGTTTGCTCTAGAAAGCACAGCCAGGAGAGGGTGGATACAAATGATTAAAAAGAGACAGGTAGTTGAGCTCATTATAATGTAGGTTTTAAGAAAGGTACATCTACTATTTATCTTAGATCACAGGGGAATAATCTGCTTTTGAAAGGAACAGATAGTCATACCTTAGTAATGCTAAAATTTGACCTCTACATTAGGAGAGACTTGTCAAAGCCACTTCTTTGTCTCTTAGACTTGTAAGTTTTGATGGGTTGTGCAGATTAGAAGTCATGGCAGTACTGTAACACAGATAGTAGAATGGTTTGCTTTGTTCTCATTGCATATCCTGCTTCTTTGCATAGAATGTCAGAATTAAGTGTTTCTAGCTTTATCCACACTTGCACATGCTACAAAGGAAAATTGGTTCCAATACTATTAGCCACACATCATATTGGTGATTTAATTTAGTTGTATATCTTCTTACCAATGTTTTGAGCAAGCAAACTATTTAAATTTACAGTTATGTATATAGTGGCTAACAAAAATGGATCAGGGGACTGGGGTTGTGGCTCAGTAGTAAAATGCTTGCCTAGCATGTGTGAGGCACTGGGTTCTATTCTCAGCACCATATATAAATAAATAAATAAAATAACGGTCCATTGACAACTAAAAAAATATTTTAAAATGGATCAGAAAAGCAATGACAATTAAATCGCTTAACATTACACGTTATGTGGTATAGTCCCTGTCATGTAGTATCTGTGTTTTTTAAAAAATTTTATTTGTATGTATGTATGTGTGTGTGTGTGTGTGTGTGTGTGTGTGTATGTGTATAGATAGATAGGTAGGTAGGTAGGTAGGTAGATAGATAGATAGATAGATAGATAGCCTTTATTTTTATGTGATGCTGAGGATCAAAGTATAGATAGGTAGGTAGGTAGGTAGATAGATAGATAGATAGATAGATAGATAGATAGATAGATAGATAGATAGATAGATAGATAGATAACCTTTATTTTTATGTGATGCTGAGGATCAAACCCAGTGCCTCACATGTGCAAGGCAAGCACTCTTACCTCCAAGCTACAACCCCAGGCAATAGAGCTAGGAAGTTTTTTTTCTTTTCTTTCTTTGTTTCTTTCTTTTTTTTTTTTTTTGTATTGGGAATTGAACCCAGGAACACTTTACCACCACAGAATTATATCCCCCACCCGAGTCCTTCTTTAGAAACAGGGTCTCATTAAGTTGCTTAGGTCCTTGCTGAGTTGCTGAAACTGGCTTCAAACTTTGGATATTTCTGCCTCGGCCTCCTGAGTCACTGGGAATATGGGCATGCACCACCATGCCTGGCTGGAAAGTCATTTGAGTCTATTATTTGATCTGATGGCTGAGAAACTTTGAACTTTTTTTTTTTTTTTTAAGAGAGAGTGAGAGAGGAGAGAGAGAGGGAGAGAGAATTTATAATATTTATTTTTTAGCTCTCGGCGGACACAACATCTTTGTTGGTATGTGGTGCTGAGGATCGAACCGGGCTGCACGCATGCCAGGCGAGCGCGCTACCGCTTGAGCCACATCCCCAGCCCAGAAACTTTGAACTTTGACACAAATCTCTTTTTTTTTTTGTTCGGTGCGCGCGTGCGTGCGTGCGTGCGTGCGTGCGTGTTACCAGATATTAATCTCAGGGGCATTCTATCACTGAGCCACATCCCTAGCCCTATTTTTGTATTTTATTTAGAGACAGGGTCTCACTGCGTATTAGCACCTCGCTTTTTGCTGAGGCTGGCTTTGAACTCGATATTCTCCTACCTGAGCCACTGGGATTACCATGCCTGGCTCAGATCTTCTAGTTTTTGATATTCACTTACAAAAGTGTTCACTATTTGCATCTAAATCTATATATATTTAACCATATTTCTCATGGTATTATCTGTAAACAATCTTTTTGTGCCTTGATGAATGATTCTTGATTGACCTGTTTTAATGCAATACAGTTAGGCTGTATTTGGAATGACACTGATAGATGGCTTAAATTGATGTTAGAAACCTACTTTAAAAAAAAGAAACCTGCTAAATATGATGCATATGAGTTATATGGCAACCACATTTTTGGTTATTTACTAAGAATGTTAAAAATAAGAATGATGATGAGCATCCAATTTTGGAGTATGACTTAAAAGGCTTATTCAATAATGAATTCATGATATAAAAGTTTCTAATTTAATATAAAAGAAGTTTCAATATAATTATTGCTGTGAGATATTAAGTATTAAAAGTTATAGGAAAACTCATAATTGTATACAGTGCAAATATGATCATTGGTCACCCTTAATATTTAAAATTGTTTTTTAATATCTGTTCCTTATAAAAGGTTGAGAATTTGCCAACAAAAGACTAAAACAACGAAGTTCTAAAAAATAAAAATGTCTTTTTATGTTTTACTAGGTCTTCGTAAACATGATGTATGTTTTTTAATTACTGTGCGTCCCACAAAACCTTATGGCACAAAGTTTGACCGGAGAAGACCATTCATCGAGCAGGTTGGCCTGGTTTATGTCAGAGGCTGTGAAATCCAGGGCATGCTGGATGATAAAGGGCGTGTCATTGAGGATGGTACGGTGGTCTGTCTCTTTGAAATTGTGTGTACAGAATAAGTTTCTTTGCCTTTTTTCTTTTTTCTTCTTAAGTAAAATTCTTAGTTGTGTACATACTAATTCAACATAAAGAGTATATAAAGGATGTGTAAGGTACCTACTTCAAAGTTTTAGAAATAAGTTCTATGGTTCAAATTTTCTGTGTTAGATGTAAAATATTATCCCAAAATATGCACAATTATGTGTCAAGTATTTTTGTAAAAGTTTCTGTGTTAGATACTGGAGATGATAGGATCTTTTTGAAATCACATTTATTCAAAATATCGTTTTATAATACTTTACACTATTGCTTTGAAAAATTCCTAAACAATTCTTGTAATTGTTAAAGCTTTTTTTATATTCAGTGATATATTTATCTAATTTTTTTCTTAAGTTTTACTGTGTTGATTCATTACAGTAATGGTTCTCAACTGGAAACAATACTGCTCGGCAGTTGGAAATATGTAGTGATACAAAAATTGTCAAATGACTAGGGTAAGGGTGGTTAATGACAGTCTGTTGGCATTTTGTGGGTGAGGTCCAGGGATGTTAAACAGAATTATTGTATAGACAGAATGACCCTGCCTGAGATGACAGCATATTATCACTTAAAAACTGCTTTACAGGGTTAGTCACCTCTTATATGCTTATCACTAATTGTTCCTTTGAAATTCTTTCTTCTGTTGTCCTAACTTCCTTTATAAAAAATACCTCTTAAATTATGAGTACTCCCAAGACTAATGTTTATTTTACAACTTGGTTGATAAAGTTCCCTTAAAACTTAAATCAGCTTCTATCATCTGTGATTTTTGAGATCACATCACTGCTAAACTGCTGCTGTCTGGGCTATTCATCTCTAGAATAGAAGGAAATGGAGACTGGGTAGAATAATCATAAGGCTACATAATGGAACTACAATTTGAGGTCTAAGACCCCAAAAGAGGAGAGAAGGCAAAGGGACAAAAAGAAGCATTTGGGCTTTCAGCCATTAATACCCCATTTTTCTGTATATATAAAATTTTCTTTTATTCTGGTAATAGTAGACAGAATATAGAAGGTTGAGGAGAGTGATCAGCCTCTGTCAAATTAGGAATAGAGAAATTATCCATTAAATCTCTTAAGTATGAAATTTAATTACTCTGAAAATATTTATGAGTACTTACTGTATGTAAAGCCCTAGAAGGAGCTATGAGTGACTGACAAGATAAGTTCTTTGATTTCTAAGAGCTCCAATATTAGTTGGGGATATATACAAATAGTTGCAGTTCACAGCATTGCATCGTAAATATTATGTGACTTGAAAGGAATCATAAGAATCTATAGAGAAAGGAGAAAATGCTTTCAGCTTCTTGGAATATGAAGTGGATAAGTAGAGGGCATTTCAGTGAGAAGAATGGTTAGAGTTAAGTCTGGATGGTTTATCCAATTTTTTTTTTCCTAGAAAAGAAATACTGTTAACTTACTTCAGTATTTGAAAAGTATTTAACAAACTTTAAAAATGTTTAGGACCTGAACCCAGACCCAATCTTAGAGGAGAATCAAGAACGTTTAGAGTATTTTTGGATCCAAACCAGTATCAACAGGATATGACCAATACTATACAAAATGGAGCAGAAGATGTATATGAAACTTTCAATATAATAATGAGGAGAAAACCAAAGGAAAATAACTTTAAGGTATTGTTTTGGCTATATAACTAAAAGTACTTATGTCACAATTTAAATAATCTTAAGACAAAATGCATTAATGTTGGGTATAAAATATTTGTTAAGCAAATAATAATCACTTTAATTTTATTCTAAATAATATTCTTAAATTCTTAACATTGATTAAATATAATAATTTAAGGAAATTAATTTGTTAAATCTGTTTTGTTTTTTGAGAAATAAAAATTTAAAATATGAATGGAGGTTTTTTTCAAAAGGTCACCCTGTTGTCTATCTTTTTTTAATATTAGGTACTCAGTTTATATCCCAGGATGAAGTGAAGAAAACTGTTTACTTATTTACTAGAATTTCTCTTTTAAATCAAAAGTAGATTTACATCCAAATGTGGAACCCCAAGGCTCTGAATTACTCTGATATATAATATATCTGTACTTTATTCATTAGTGACAAGGAGAGATTTAGGGACTTATGATTTTACTTTTATAATTTTGTGGGGAGAAGAGTTTAAGGAAGATATTTTAAATTATTATTTGAAACTATATTATAAACCTTAAACATTGAGCATATCTAGCATTTGATAACATCTAGATTTTGTGGAAAGTGCTCTTCTTTCCTCTGTACCCCAAAAATGCAGAGTTTCTTGTACATTCCTATTACTTTATTACCTCTTCTTACCCATTGTTATGAAAACAAACCAGAAACCTGTCAAATAAAGAAACTTTCTCACTATAAAAATAAAAGAACCATCTCTCCCTATTGTTGAAGACAAGAACAGTGGAGATATTCTTGATTTCTTTTTGTTTAAACTACACATGCAATCCATCAATAATTTGATTAGCTTACTACCTCCACTGATGCCATGTCTAGACACCTTCAATTCTCCCATCCCTGCACCATTCTTGTGAGATACTTCCATTCCACTATTCCACTATTCTCCACCTAGTAGCTGAATAATCCTTTTAAAATGTAAATTATACTTTGGTTCCCCTTTTCAACATTCTTTAATGTTTCCTGTCATTTAGGAAATTCTTACCATAATTCAGAAGGCCTTGCCATATATGTCCTCTGGCTTCCTCTCTTATTTTCTTTTATCTCTTATTCACTAAATAAAAGCCACACCGTTTTTTCTTTTCTTTTTTTTTTTTTTTTTTTTTTTGCTGTTCCTTAATAATTCAAGATTGCACATAGTGTACCCTCTCCATAGACAGTCTTTCTTGGTATTTGCATGTTTTTTTCCTTAATTGCACATGAACAACTGAGTTTAAATGCCAACTGGTAAGAGAAGCCTTCCTTGGCAACCTTACTTGAAGTAGGTAAGATTACCTACTTATCCCTTCTCAGTATTCTCTATCCTATTAGCTCTATTTTTTTTCAAACTCCTTGACATACCTGATAATTATATATTTACTAATCTGACTTCACCGTTAGATTATGAGAGCAAGATCTTTGTCTTTCAACATAATCTTAACACCTAGAGCTATGCCTGGTATATAGTATGTGCTTAACAAATATTTTTTGAGTGAATGAAGGACAGTCTCACATTTAGTCAGTTTTCAGTAAATGAATCTCAATCACTTTACTTTAAACAAAAAATCCTTTCCTATATGTATTTATTTAATGCTTTATAAAGATGAATAAAACAACTTATACCTTTAGAGAGCTTAACTACTAACAAGGGAAATTAGAAATATAAACAAATAACTACCATGAAAGATTAGAAGGTGCCAAAAGCCATAAGAAGGGTACACATGAAGGTATCAGGGAGTTTAGAAGAGACATCGAGGTTCTGATCAAACAAAGGGGGAACTTTCCCAAAGCTTGCCTGTTTGGGGAAAGAAAGAATACTTTTTTTTGTATCTTGGGTGTTTTCTTGTTTACCTGAGCAGCATCCCACATTTCCTTCTTTCTTTTCCAGTTCCTACAGCCTATTCTGATCTGGATATTTCACTTCTTCCTAGACAGTTGTATGTGTCTCTTCCCTAGTTTCCTCATAATTACCTGTATTTCATACCTTTCCTCCTATTCTTAACACTGATCATTTTAGTCTTGCTTCTCAGAATATTTCTGTGACTTTTTATTAATGATGACATAAATCAGAGTGCTTCAGAAATTCTGTACTTGAGCTAAATTAAAGTGCCACTGTCCTTCATGAAACCTTTTCTAATGTTAAAAGTCTCCCCTGCATCCATATCTCTCATCCACTATGAACTATATTCTTGTATTTTGTAATATTCTTTACTGTCGGCCACATTCTGCTGCTTTGTTCTTGCCAAGTTTGGTCTTTTGTTTAAATCAGGGTATATGTATAGTGAAGGACATATTTTATCTCCCTGCTAGAATTACAATTTTCTTACAGGGCAGAGCTTTCATCTTATTCATCAGTGTTATATGAACATACTCATTAATCTGTCTGTATATCCATGCATGCATCCCATATTCCAACTGTTCTAGGTCCCTTCTACTCTGAAAATTATATTTTAGTTGGGAGTTAAACAAATGACAAACAAGTAATGAAGTATATGAACCAAGAGAATTTCAGATAGTGAAAAAGGCAAGTATATAAAACCAGGCACTAAGATTAACATAGTCTATCCTGTGATTTTTTAAATTGGGTTTTGTAGCAATTACCATTTAAAACAACATTGATTTGGTTATTTTATTCTTTGAAATTAATAGCCTCATCTCCTAATTTCTATATGTAGGATAGATTACTTTGTTGAGGTGATTTTTATAAGAATCTGCCTTGACTTTTGGTAATTACTTTTGACAGTATATATGTATTAGCTACTATAATAACTTTTTGTTGTAGTCCTGATTCTTTATTCTGTAATTTTACTTGACATTTTCTTAATTTTTATAATTTTGTTTACTTTATTGATATTTCTCACCATGCTAATTTTAGTATTTCTGAGTTGTGATGTGTTTCATGATTTAGGCATACACTAATGTGCTCTAGTTTTATGTGACTTTAACACAAGAACTCTGGATTATAAGAGAAGAAGACTGCAGGAGTTTCTAAGGAAGCATTTTCTTTGATTCTGTAATGTTTTCATGCTATTGGGTTGACATGAGTCTGATTTTTATCCTACTCAATAGGAGTTAAGTGGTAAATTCATTTATGTCATTCTAAGTGAACTCAATGGATAAACTGTTCTTTCTAAGTTTGGTCTTTTGTTTAAATCAGGGTATGGTATCAGCTGAAAATATAGCTGTTGATTCAGTCTAGCCAAGCACCTGTCAGCAGAAAATAGCTTCTTGCCCTGAAACACTTGGGAATTCTGGATTAGTGCAGCCAGCTCTGCATTCCAGTGAAGTGCAAATGTTTGAGATGTCTTATTGACACAATCCTTTTCTGTTCTTTTACTGACAGGCTGTGCTGGAGACTATTCGAAACCTGATGAATACTGATTGTGTGGTACCTGACTGGCTGCATGATATCATTTTAGGTTATGGGGACCCAAGTAGTGCCCATTATTCAAAAATGCCCAATCAGATTGCTACCCTTGATTTCAATGATACATTTCTCTCCATTGAACATTTAAAAGCCAGCTTTCCTGGTCATAATGTTAAAGTAACTGTGGATGACCCAGCTCTACAGATACCCCCTTTCAGGTAAAGTCAGACCTAGATGTACTCCTTTCAAGCCTTCTGTAGTCTGTCTGTGATAGGCCATTAGCACCAATGGCTGAAGTGAATTTTAAGTTATTTTATCAGGTTTTTGTTTTGACAGCCCCTACATATAATCACTGAAATAAGTTATTATATTTTACTCTTAGGGCAGAAGCTATTTTAAAACCACAATTAAAGTAGCTTCATGTCTTATAAAAAAAATCAGTAAAAGGACTGGAGATATAGCTCAGTTTGTATAGTGCTTGCTTCACATGCACAAGGCCCTGCATTTGGTCCCCAGCACCACAAAACAAAAGCAAAAACAAAAATCAGTAAATGTGTGTTGTCTGGAGAAAATGAAATATAGTGTCTGATGAAATATTTCTTTGCATTTTACATATAATCTGATATATTTTCTTCTTTTTTGGGGGGGGGTAGCAGTGGTGGGGATTGAACTCAGGGCCTCACATATGCTAAGCAAGCACTTCACCACTGAGCTCATAGCCCTAGTCCCCTTAATCTGATATATTTTCTAATTAATACACATAGCCATCTGATGTTGAACTTTATTTCTTTTACCCTTGCTTGCTTTCACAGATTTTAAATACAGGTTGAGTATCATTTATTTAATTGCTTGGAACCACAAGTGTTTTAGATTTCAGAGTTTTTCAGACTTCGGGATATTTTCATAGATTTACTGGTTGAGCATTCTTAATCTGAAAATCTAAAATGTCAAATGTTTCAAAATCCAGAACTTTTTTTCCATATGTTTTATTGGTGTATTATAGTTGTAGATAATGGAGGGGTTTTATGCATTCATATAATGCATATATGAATTATAACAATAGAATTTGGCTAGTATCATTCTCCACAATTTTTCCTTTTCCTCCTCTTTTCTCTCTTCCTGATCTCTTTCCTCTACTCTATTGTTCCTCCCTTTGGTTTTCATGAGACCCTTGCCCCTAATTTTTTTTTTTTCTTCTCTAGCTTTCACATATGAGAAAAAAAAAATATGACCCTTGATCTTTGAGTTTGGCTTATTTCACTTAACCTAATGATCTCAAGTTCCATCCATTTTTCTGCAAATGACATAATTTCGTTTTTCTTTATGACAATAAAACTCCATTGTGCATATATACTACATTTTCGTTATTCATCTATTGTTTGCCCATTTATTAATTAAATAATTTGTGTTTTTGATGTTAGGTTCTTCTGAGTTCTTCATCTATTTTGAATATCAGTTCTCAGAAGAGTAGCTAGCAAAGACAAAATTTGAAACTTTTTTGAGTGTCATCTCAGTGCTTAAAAAATTTCATATTTGGGAGCATTTCAGATTTTGCATTTCATATTAGAGATACTCAACCTGTATTCAAAATATAATTGTATTAAATGTTAAATTAGCTTTGGTTTTAAAGTTTGAGTAGAAAAATAGAATGAAGTACCTAGAGCACTTGGTTGCTGATCCCTGAATTCTTCATATGAATTCTTCATATGGATTAGAGGCAAAGGACTCAGATAGTATGGGTGGTATTCCTGGGTTTGCTTACTTTCTTGTTGTTTTTTTTTTTTAATAATTTTTTTTAGTTGTTGATAGACCTTTATTTTATTTATTTTGTTATGTGGTGCTGAGTATCGAACCCAGTGCCTCACACATGATAGACAAGAGCTCTACCACTGAGCCACAACCCCAGCCCTGGGCTTACTTTCTTAGTTGGACATTATAATACACAGCTTTCAGTTGAATGTTAAATAAAATATAATAATTAAACATTTAAAAATATATCCTTTGTAACAGCCAAACCTTGTCTGTTGCCATACTTCCTAATTCTGTTAATGACAAAAGTTCCAGTCACCATCTTAAAATCTCAGCATTATTTTTTTAAATGTTTACTTTAATAATTCCTGACCCATAGAGTAGCTTCTGCTATAGAGATAGTTTTTTCAAATGTCATTCCTTACTACTACATCTCTAGGCCCTCGGTCCTTGTGGTGGTGGTGGTGTCTTTCCTACCTCTCTCTCTCCACTTGAACTATTAAATGCCTAACTACTAGAGCTACTCACTCCCTAACTAAGAAAAGTGATTGCTCCTTTTGCTTAACAAATAAGGCTGACCCCCTTAGCTTCCTACTAATTCTTAGCAGTTTCAGGTACTGTCTATTTTTTAAGGTTTTGAAGAAAGATTGAAAAAATTGCATGTAGATAATTCATTTTTTTAGTTTAATTTTTGAAAGTTCATTGGACTTTCCTCCCTATGGAGAGTCACCTTCACCCCCAGGCTAAGAACCTCTGCCTAAAAAGCTAGATGTTCTAGAAGGGTCATAACTAGGCTAAAGATGCACATCTGTCCTTTACTTTTCTCTGTTTCACCCCACATTCCAGCAAAATTAGGCTGCTTGTACTTGACCTCTGCTGTTACTTCTTTCTTCCAGTAGTATCTTCCCTTTCCATTTTCAGATATCTAAATTCTTTGAGACTCAACTGCTTCCTGTCCCTTATTGTCTTTTCTGATTCAGTCAAGGACACAAATATAGCTCTTATAGTGCATATGGCGTAAATATTTTCTGTTTCTTTGATCTCTCAAAATTGGATGACTTTTTCCTAATCTGAAGACTTATTTTTTAACATCACATTTTAATGCTTATGAATTTACTTTTGTTCAGCTTATACAAATAATAAGCTCCCTTAAGCCAAAAATGTTTTTTACTCATCTGATTATTCTCCATATAAGTCATGCACAAGATAGGTACTTAATAAATCCTTTTTAATTATAAATCAAACAAAGGTTTTGGTCTTGTAGGATAACTTTTCCAGTAAGAAGTGGAAAGGGGAAGAAAAGGAAAGATGCAGATGAAGATGAAGACACTGAAGAGGCAAAAACCTTAATTGTTGAACCTCATGTTATTCCTAATAGGGGACCTTATCCTTATAACCAACCCAAACGGTAATTTTACTACTTATTCTAAGTATTGTAAATTCGCTGTTTCAGTTGGGTTACTGTTTTTATTATAACTTAATTCATTCATTTGTTCATTCATTCAGTTTTCGCATTACTGGGGATTAAGGCCAGAGATGTTCTACCACTGCACTAACTTCCAAGCCCTTTTTATTTTTTTTTACTTTGAGACAGGATCTCACTAAATTGCCAACGTTGGCCCCAAACTTTCAATCCTCCTGCCTCAGCCTCCTGAGTTGCTGGGCTCACAGGCAGGCAACACTAGACTTGGCTTTCTTATACTTTTAAAACCTTAAGATACTTTAGTTTCTGGACCCTCTTTCCTTTTATTTTGTTAACCAACTGAATAGCTCAGACATTTTAGGCTACTCTATAATAATATTTCAGAAAGGAACATGTTCAGGTACTCTGAGAATGAAATGCTACTACACAGGGTTACCTTAATTTGAGTAGAGTTCTTATTTCATGACCCTGTGTTACTTAGAGCAGTAGCCCTAGTGCAAATGTCCCGTAACTAAAAAAGTGTCATAATATTAGGGAACAGCAACTTTTGCAGGACAAAACAGGTCTGAAATGAACTATGTATCAAAAAGTAATTGCACACCTGTAATCCCTACAGAGAGGGAGGCTGAGACAGGAGGATCAAGAGTTCAAAGCCAGCCTCAGCAATGGCGAGGTGCTAAGCAACTCAATGAGACCCTGACTCTAAATAAAATACAAAATCGAGCTAGAGATATGGCTTAGTGGTCAAGTGAGTGCCCCCAAGTTCAATCCTAGGTACCCCCTCAAAAAATTTTATTCTTTTACTTGGAGGTGGACTATGAAAATGTAAAGAGATTGACAGAACAAAGGCAAATACAGAATAGACTTTTGGTCCTTGTTTTTCCAAATGTATACTAAATATCATCTATCTCTATTTCTAACCAACTTTTTATTGACCCTTTTATTTACAGTAATACTATTCAGTTCACTCATACACAGATAGAGGCTATCCGTGCTGGAATGCAGCCTGGGCTCACTATGGTAAGAGAATTACTATTACATATGTTGTTATCTGAATTTAGACCAGGTTTTTTTTTGTTTTGTTTTGTTTTTTGTGAGCACAAATTTCTAATGTATTCTTCGTGTGGTTTCAAGGGTTTTTTTTTGTAATTGGATACAACACCTTTATTTCACTTATTTTTGTATGTGGTGCTGAGGATGGAACCCAGGGTCTCGAACGTAGGAGGCGAGCACTCTCCCTCTGAGCCACAACCCCAACCCCAGCCCCAGGTGTTTTGTTTTTACTTTTTTAATTTACTAAGATTCATCTCTGGCCTAGGATATGATCTGTCTTGGTGACTATTTCTATGTACTTGAAATGAATGTATATTAAGTTCTTTTCTATCCTTTTTTGTCTATTGAAACAGTAATTTCTTTTGATTACTGGGAGAAGAATATTGACATCTTCAACTATAATTGTGAATCTGTTTCTCCTTTCATTTCTGTTAATTTTTGCCTAATGTATTTTGAAGCTTTGTAGATGGGAACATACCTCAAGGCTGTTATGTCATCTTGGTGAATTGACCCTTGTATTATTATGTAATGTCTCTATCACTGGCAATTATCTTTGCTCTAAAGTCCACTTTGTCTGGTGATAATATGATCATGCATCTTTCTTTTGATTAGTGTTCATATGATATTTCTTTTTCATCACTTATAAACCGCCTATTTTTTGTTTTCAGGTTTATTGACTCTTCAACTCTGCCCTATTATGATATTGAATCCATCCAATGAATTTTTAATTTGTTATTTACTCATTCAGTTCTAGTGTATGGTAATGTGATAATTTAGTATTTGATAAATATTATATATTCATCTTCTTCCCTTCTCCAAGGTTGTGGGCCCACCTGGTACAGGAAAAACAGATGTGGCAGTACAGATCATATCCAACATCTACCACAATTTCCCAGAGCAGAGAACTCTAATTGTTACTCATTCCAATCAGGTAAGTGTGTGCAAGTGTATGTGTGTGCGCATTTGTATGTATGCATGTGCACACTACTGCTTTTACTTCTTTGACTGAATTTATTTATCTCTTCAGTTTCTAACCCTTACTGATAGCATTTTTCTTTATTTAGAAGAATGAATATTTCTAAAAGATTAAGATCTACAATATATTTTTTCTTAATTTTTTTTTAATTGTAGGTGAACATAATACCTTTATTTTATTTATTTATTTTTATGTGGTGCTAAGGATCAAACCCAGTGACTCACACATGCCAGACAAGCACTCTACCCCTGAGCCACAATCCCAGCCCAAGGCCTACAATATATTAATGCTAAATTGAATTTAAAATCTTTGTGAAGTGTACATGTTAATATCCTTATTACATTGAAGCCGTGTGTGCGCTCCTGGTCCTTCTGAAGCAGTCAGAAATGAGTAAGAACAAATTATACTTATTAACTCTGGAGCAAAATATAGATAGGCAATTCTGAGAATATTCTAAAATATACTGATTTTACATGGTCCTCTAATCCTTCAAAAATACTTAGTGGTGACTTCATTTGGCCCATCTTCAGAAGATTTCATCTACAAAGAAGTTCAGAGTTTGGGGAATGTCAATCTTTTCATTTAATCTACAATTTTATTTATTTATTTTTAGCAATGCTCTCCAGTTCATTCACCCATGTTTTTATATGTAGTGTTTTCAAAGTCTATGAGTACTGTTGGCTTGTTGTACAATATGGTGAATTTATGCAGGGGAGTTGTCTTGGGGAATTGATTTGGACTACATCTTGATAAAGGAAACAGAAAAATTATGGAAAGTACTTTCTTCCACTTAATAAAATATAGTCTGTAATAATTATACTTATCTGAATTCTTCAAATGAACAAATAATAAGTCTTTAGCATAATAAGTTTTTAGCATAGTTTTTTTTACTATTTTGTCCTACCTTGATATGACTTTCTACAATGTCCTTTATTTATGATTGACATATAGCACAATCATAGAGAAGGTTAATTTGCAAAAATACCCAAAGAATTCATTGTTTTCTAAGGGCCTCTATTGATTATTTTTCCTTGAATTAACTTTTTTTTTTATTAAGTCTTCATTTGCATGTGTATTTCAAGTAGTTTCTTCAATATCCTTCTGATTCACAATGGAATAGTTTTTCTGAGATCATAATTTTTTTTTTTTTTTTGCACTCTAAATCTATGTGATTCTTGACTAAGGGAAGCAAGTAATGCCATCTATTCTGATGTTTTCTGTGGTCCTCAGTTTTGAATAGTTGAGTATCAAAAGTTAGGATAGTGGGAAATTTTTCTGAAAATTTGCTTATCTCTTCAGTTTCTGAACTCACTGGAATATTGATAGTAAAGGATATCTGTATTTAAATTATGGAACTTGGATGTTTACGAGATTAGATGTTGACTTGATGGGGTAGGGTTGGAGTTGCATTTGTGATAAAGGAGAGATGTTCGAATGGGGCCAATTTTTAAATGATGTCTTTATTAGTGTACTTTTCCAGTCTGTGAAACTTTTGCCTTTCTGCAAAACTTTATAACTACAGAGGTTTAGATAATGAATATTAGGATTTGAAGAACTTCTAAATATGAATATTTCACAGGTAGAAAGAAGTGACTTCCTAATGGCTTTCATCAGAATAGTTTATGATAAATGAGCACTCTGCTTATTGTAAAGAGAAATTAAGACTTTCAGCTTAAGATTTGAATGATACATTTTACATTTCTCTATTGTAGTCTACCTATACACACTGCCTTCTCACTGTCCTTTTCCAGCTGTGAAAACTTTTTTGGTTCTCTGCAGCCTTGTAAATGCTGTGAGTGAAATGAAACTCAGTATGGTGAATTATTTTAGGACTTATTACAACTTGGAGGAAATAGCACTACTGAACCAATCCTTTCTCTTTTCAGAAATTAGAAGCTCAGTTTTCATGGGTGGATGGTTTTTATTGTTTCCACTTATTCATTTGGCCAAGTGTATATATATGGCAATATCAGAAATCAATAAAAGTATTATTTTGTTTTAATTATAAATGGCCTAGTATAAGACCTTTTTCCTTCTGTTTAGATTATGATCCTTATAATACTCTGTCATTCTAAATGTTAGTTTCTGTTATTTTTAAAGATATCTACTGAGTCTTTGAAACTGACCATCATCGTTTTTGCTTTATTCTCTAGGCCCTGAACCAGTTGTTTGAGAAAATCATGGCGTTAGACATTGATGAGCGCCACCTGCTACGTCTTGGTCATGGAGAAGAAGAGCTGGAGACAGAAAAAGATTTCAGCAGGTAAGCAAAAGGTGGTGAATTTTGAAACACTGTACCAAAGAATATTTAACTTTTTCTCCTCCTTTATTAAAGACACACCAAGAGCAAAGAGCCACGAATGATCAAATGTAATTCTGAAATTTTTAGTATAACCCACTTAGACTATATATTATTCATGTTTTCAGGTATACAGTGATTTCTGTGAAGAGGATTATCATGTTTATCTCTATAAAATTGTGAATTGCCATTTGTTTTCTATTTAGTGAACTAATTTTTAATGTTGCCAGTTTAAAACTGTTCAACTCTAGATGATTCTTTTTTCATTTTTCATCTTGACATTTAATTTACATTTTTTTAGGTACCAATTAAGAGATTGATTTTTTTTTAGAGAAATGTAAATTAATAGTTTAGTGATAGTGTAAGTTTGGGGGCTTATTGCCAGTTTAGTTGTACTTTATGATTAATATTATGTACTATAAATTGACTAAAATTTTTCAGATTAAATTTCTACATGTTTTTCTTCATTTTCATTTTTTTCTTCAAAGTTGTAACTCATTCATATGTTATTATTTATGACTCATTTATACTTAAATTTATGTTTAAAGCACAATTTCAGATAATAATAGCTGAACATATTTAATATGTTGGCTATTGATCATACACATTAAAAGAGTACTATATTAATGCTTCATGTCTATTCTGAGTTCTTAATATTACAGAGATCACCAAATATTTAGCTCATAAAAAGTCAGTGTGTAACACAGTACAATATGCCATAAATCATCAGCTCTATTGCTGATATTTCCTGAAGTTTTCCACAGTATTTTCTCATGTTAAAGCTAACTTAAGAAAATGATTAGACTTTAAGATCTAATAATTGAGTTCAATGAACATGAAGAAGCACAAGTTAAGCTCTGTGTCTTATTAGCATGTGTGTGCTTATACATTTGAGCATATTTTCTCTTTGTCATAATTAAAAAGAAAAATGATCGTTCTAAAAAAAGTAATATCACTTTTTCTAAAGAAAAAATATTTAAAAACCTGGTAATATAGTATAGGGGCGGTTACCTTTCATAATTATATTCTCTTAAAATAACTTTCTGTTAATCTTTTCTTAATAATCAGGCTATTTGAAGTTTTGTATTTTTCTTTTTTAAAAAACAATTTGTAGTCTCTTTTTTAAGTATATTTATAGAATAATTGTGCAGATAGTACAAAGAGTTTCACTTATATTGTTTTGGTTTTTTTTTTTTTTGGCACTGGTGATTAAACCCAGGGGCACTCAACTACTGAGCCACATCCCCATCCCTATTTTGTATTTTATTTAGAGACAGGGTCTCACTGAGTTGCTTATTGCCCTGCTTTTGCTGGGCTGGCTTTGAACTCTGTTCCT